CTATTGTTGCCATCGAAGCTAGAGGTGATGGGGGCTAGGGAGAGGAAGGTGGCAGTGGAGGTGGGGAGAAGTGGTTGCAAGTAGGATGTGTTTGAAGGTGAAACCTATAGGATGTCCTGATGGATTGCAGGTCAGGTGTGTGAGGAAAAGAAGAGGCAATCACACATGGCAAGTTTTGGCATGAGCAACTGGAGGGATGGAGTTGCCATCACTGAGATTGAAGAAGCCTATGGGAGAAGTTGCTCTTCTTAGGGGTGAGGCAGGAAGGAGCGTTGAGATCTCCTAGAGTTTGAAGTGTGGCAAAGAAGAATCAAGAGATAAGTACTCTGCCCAAGGTGACACAGTGGATGGTGTTGCCCCCCAGAGCCTTCCCCCAAGACCACCTACCACCACACAGGATTTGCCCCCCATCTGTTGCAGGCTCTACAGACACCCCATCAGGAGAAATGGGAGAAAAGGGACATCCAGAATGCTCTCTAATGAAATGGGGAAAAGATTTCCCCTTTGCTTATTCTTGTGAAAATTACTGAGTAAGAATCTGACCCACCTGGATTCATGTATGTGTAATATGACAAAAGTGTCCTCGTTTTTAACGTGGCTTACAGGAAGACCAGGCCATACATGGCCAGCTCTGGAATATGATACTTACATCTTGATTTAGTTATGATACCAGGCAAGACAAATGGAGAAGTCTTGCATGGTATCTTGTAAGTTATGAAATATTTGAGTGCCACAGTCCAAATGCAAGTTGCTAGCTGTTACTCTGAAAATAAGGGCTTTTGGTTTTTGTTTATTTTTTGGCAGAAATGTCAGTGTGTTAGATTACAAATAGGGACACACCAGATTTCAAAATTATAATCCAAAATCTGAAGAAAATTATGGCCAAACTCAAAAGTCAGATCAAAGTTATGGCCAAATTAAGTGAGATTAATTTTTTTTTATTTTTCTTTTAAGATTTTATTTATTTATTTATTTAACAGAGAGACACAGCGAGAGAGGGAACACAAGCAGGGGCAGATGGAGAGGGAGAAGCAGGCTTCCCGCCGAGCAGGGAGCCCGATGTGGGGTTCGATCCTAGGACCCTGGATCATGACCTGAGCCAAAGGCAGACACTTAATGACTGAGCCACCCAGGTGCCCCTAAGTGAGATTAATTTTTAAAATGAAGAGTAGTTCTGAGAAATCTTAAGAAGAGGGTATCTGCTAGAGAAACAAGCAGACACTGAAAGCTTTCTTCTTAACTTGACAGGAATCAAAATCTCTGTTGTATTTATTAGTTAGAAGCCCTTGCCTTTCACATTTTGTCTAAGTTATTATGAACCATTATATGTTTATGTTGGATGGTGTCATAGTAGTGAGAAGCCAAAGTGGGTTAGTTATTTATAAAAAAGAGGCTTTCAGGAAATTAGACTAACTTATTTTGTTTAATAACCCAGCCCAGAATTATAAGAAAGAAAGTTTGACTCTCTATTTTTTTCTCTTTTCTAGTTGATTTTCAAGGACAAAAAAAAAAAAGCTTTGGCTTCCATGGGTTTTACTTTAATCTGTAAAAGTTGAGTGGCGTTGATAAGTACTTCAGTACTTTGAGTGAAAGGACTTAATTGTTGAATGGATTACTGGATTATTTTACCATAATCATTAGATTTTACAAAATGTTTCTGCCAGGTTTCAGGATCATGTTAACATTCTAACTGAAGCCTGATTTTTTTTAAAATTTTTTATTGTTATGTTAATCACCATACGTTACATCATTAGTTTTTGATGTAGTGTTCCATGATTCATTGTTTGTGCATAACACCCAGTGCTCCACGCAGAACGTGCCCCCCTCAACACCCATCACCAGGCTAACCCATCCCCCCACCCCCCTCCCCTCTAGAACGCTGTTTGTTTTTCAGAGTCCATAGTCTCTCATGGTTCGTCTCCCCCTCCGACTTACTCCCCTTCATTCTTCCCCTCCTGCTATCTTCTTTTTCTTTTTTCTTAACATATGTTGCATTATTTGTTTCAGAAGTACAGATCTGTGATTCAACAGTCTTGCACAATTCACAGTGCTCACCATAGCACATACCCTCCCCGATGTCTATCACCCAGCCACCCCATCCCTCCCACCCACACCACTCCAGCAACCCTCAGTTTGTTTCCTGAGATTAAGAATTCCTCATATCAGTGAGATCATATGATACATGTCTTTCTCTGATTGACTTATTTCACTCAGCATAACACCCTCCAGTTCCATCCACGTCGTTGCAAATGGCAACATCTCAGTCCTTTTGATGGCTGCATAATATTCCATTGTGTATATATACCACATCTTCTCTATCTATTCATCTGTTGATGGACATCTTGGCTCTTTCCACAGTTTGGCTATTGTGGACATTGCTGTGAAGCCTGATTTTTAACTAAGAAATCTTACCTAAACTAGGAAACCCATGGAAATGTGGTCTAGTCCCATGAAGAAATGCCTACATTTAATCAAGCTTTTTGAAAGATTTTAGTGTGCAAAATAAAAGTTCATATTCAAGTATAAGAACGTTCAAGTTCATATTATTTTATTTAACAAAATGCTATGCAGAGTTTAACCATGCCATGGGCACTGTTCCCAGTTCACCTGCTCCTGATTCTGTGGTCTCAGCGTGAAACTCATATGATCTTGATAATAAGAGTTTGGACAACTAAATCAAGACTAGAGATAAGCAGACCCAATTCCTCAAATTGACACCAAACATGTCATGGTAAATCTCCTAGCCGTGACAGGACTTTGTATTTCTTCCTCTCAGAGCACATGACTGATGTCCAAACTAAGACTGAGTCCCCAAGCAGATGGGCATGCCTGCTCAAGAGCACTTCACCTTGCTCACCCAGTGGCAGTGTGACCTCATGATTAGGCATCTAGCCTTTGGAGCCAGCCTGCTTGGGTTCCATCTCTTAGCAGTATGTGACTCGGCCAAGTTGCATAACTTTTCTGGGCCTCAGTGTCCTTATCTGTAAAGTGGGCATTGTGACAATAATGCTTGCCTCCGTGGGTGTTGTGACAATGAAGGAGTTAACACATGTAAGTCACTTAGGACTGCATCTTGGCATAGAGTGAGTTCTAGATAAAGCTTCACTATTATCATTACATTATTGTGCGGGTCTGCAATTAGTCCCTGAATCCTTTGGAGATGTGGTAAGTTTTAAAAGTGAATTGAATTTACTCTTGATAGAGTCATTCCAGCCATGCATAGCTAAAATCTAATTTTGTAATTAACATTCGTTTTACATGGGGTCTGAGAGTTGAAGGTTATGGTCTTCCTAACAGCCCCCTTGAGGTAGCCTTCTTACTCATGGTTTTCCTCTATGCTCCTGAACTCCTTAGAAAAACTGCCCTTTTCCATTCAAACTTATCTGAGTCCCTACAGGGACTTATACTGGAGGAGCTGACATGTTGGGGGAACCTGGTTTTGGTCGAGACTGTGTCACATTCTGGACCATAAGCAGAGCCTTTACAAACCTCTGTAAAGTCTGGCTTACTTCTCATTGCTTGTCCCCTCATTCGTTTTTGGAACTCTTTGCACCAAAGCTGCCAAAACTGGATGAGCTTGTTTAGCTAGTGTTTGCCAAATGAAATGTCGAAGGATATCTGGAAAGGCAGACTGAAGGTCCCAAGACTTCAAGATCACTGAGAACCCAATGAGTAATAATATAAGGGCAATAAACAGCAAGCATTATTTAGCTAAACAAACTGATGCTAAAATAAGGGGAGATGGTTTGATTGCTTCATCTAGAGGGATTACTCAGTGTTGTCCTTATGTTCAAATATTTACGTACCAAGGTCAAGAATTCTCAGGACATGATGCACCAATATTTTTCAACAAGTCATGAATTGTGACTACAAGTCAAATTTCAGTGTGGGTGGAGTGATGAATTGCAGGATGCCTTTGAGTGTCTCCCCTTCAAAAGGAGAGAGTGTGTGCACCTGAGGAGACTTGGGGGCAGAAGCCGCAAGAGTTGGAAACTATTCTTAGCTCAGCCTTGGACTTGGAGATCATTCCCTTCCGTCCTTCAGTTTGGGTAAGCATCAATTACTTACTTATCTAAAATTTATAATAAAAACTTTTCCATACACATAATAAGAAAAGTACCAGTAATTGATGTTTAGAGGAAATGTGCTTTCTTGAAGTCTGCTTAGGGTTGTTGTATCTATTGTTCTATTTGCTAATTTCTGTGTTAGCTCAATCCTTTCCCTGACTTTTTAAGAAAAAAACCATCTAGTTAAATGATTCTCTTGGTGAAAGGAAAAAGAAAAACATGTAATATTTTTCACAGACCTCCGACTATTCTCAGAAAAACTCTGGTGAACCTTGGGGACAAGTGGAAGCAGGGACACATTTTTGAGGGTTTGCCGTTGTGTCTAGGGCTTAATGATTAACAGTCGACCCGTCACTTTCCTATATTTTTAGTTGCTTTGTGATGACTATGTGCGTGTACCCCTGCATGTGGGTCACACAGCCCCCACCCTGGGTAGCTATCTGTGGTTTTACCTTGGCATTTATAACATCGTATTTTCCAGGGTCTGTTGAGTTTTATAGTTTTAATTTGTTTCAAAAATAGAAACTAGTTTTCTTTCCTCCTAATTCAATTTCTTCCAGTACATTCTCATGATACTATGAAATAGTATGACTATTGTAAGGCCTACATGGCTCAAAGTTTCAGTAGGAATAAATGCAATGTTTCAGGTCTGAAATCCTGCTGTTATACATATTTATACCTAATAAATACCTGTTGATTGATTAGTTCTCCTGGGGGGGTTATTGAACAAGCAAAAATCATGACAATAAATATTTTGCTTGTGATTTTGTATGATTTATGTTTCAGTAAGACCTTGAAACTCTATCCTGCTGTAAATCTCAAGGGATACCATCAACCTCCTAGGGGAGACCTTCACCATCATATGTCACGGATTCACCTTGAGTAATCTCAACAATCAGTTACCAGCACTTGCTCTGGATTGATAAGCTGAGAATGAGACTTTGGGTTGTGGCACTTTTAACGATTCTCGTACATTCCACAGCAGCTAAGTTTAGTAAGTACTGCTTTTCAACTAAAATTGGAAAATTTTAAAATTAAGTAATTCCAAAAATATTTGCCTTGTTTTCTTTCTTAAAGGTTTTATTTATTTATTTGAGAGAGACAGCGTGATTATAAAATTTTAAAATTAAGTAATTCCAAAAATATTTGCCTCGTTTTCTTTCTTAAAGGTTTTATTTATTTATTTGAGATAGTGTGATTATAAAATTTTAAAATTAAGTAATCCCAAAAACATTTGACTTTTTTTTTTAAAGATTTTATTTTTTATTTGAGAGAGAGAGGCAGCACGAGCTGTGGGGAATGGCAGAGGGAGAGGGAGAAGCAGACTCTCAGCTGAGCAGGGAGCTTGACGCAGGGCTCGATCCCAGGACCCCGAGATCATGACCTGAGCCGAAGGCAGACGCTTAATATAACCAACTAAGCCCCCAGGCCCCCCATCATTTGCCCTGTTTTAAACTGCTTGCTTCTGGTTGTTCCTGGAAAATTCATTTATGCCCTGCAGTCATTCTTTATCACTAATCTCTCAGGACAAATTCTTCACAAAAAATATATCATAATTTTAGTTTTACCTATTTAATACATCAAAATTTAACCTGCTGCCTGCATATAGGAGAGAGAGAGATGTGGCTGCTTTCTCACTAGAGCAATGTAGGAGGGTTAGCTCCAAGTTAACGCACTAATCTGTGGTACCCAGTAGAACATTTCATAGAAGATCTTTATCATTTACTATTCTTTCTCAGTGAAAGTGTCACAAAAATGGTCCTTTCTATATTTAATCCTAGAAGGATAGAAAATAAGAATTATAATGTTCTATGATCATTTCAGGATCCCATTTATGCTTTGTTTGTTTGTTTGTTTTTTGTATCTGCAGGCAAATCATCCTGGGGCCTGGAAAATGAGGCTTTAATTGTGAGATGTCCTAGGCAAGGAAAGTCTCGATACCCTGTGGATTGGTATTACTCAAAAACCAACAAAAGTATAACCACCCAGAAAAGAAATCGTGTATTGGCCTCGGGGGAACGTCTTAAGCTTCTCCCGGCCAAAGTCAATGATTCTGGAATTTATACTTGCATTATCAGAAGGTATTAACCAGGCAGCCACCATAATCTTCGGCTTGTTCCCTTTTCTTTGATAATTGATGGTGTGAGCTATCCTTCCTTTCCTTTCCTTTCTAGATCTTTGTGGGACAGCTGAATTTATAAAGTGGTCTGAATAGAAGAGTACTTCTAGGAACGCCATCAAGTTGGGGTTTGGGTGATTATGAACTACTTAGAGGTAGAATGGCAAGAATTAATTTGTAGTCCAATTAGGAAAAGACCTAGCTTTCCTAGTGACCAAGAGAACTGAGAGCAATCACTCACTTTGGCTGGAAGTAAGAACAAACCAGCAAAGAGACCCAGTAATCTAGATGTTGGGCATCAAGGAGGCCTATGGTGGGTGCAAAAGGGCTCTCACCAGTGCCTTAAACCTGAAAGGTAAGCTGAAGAGGGTTGTGTAAGATTGTGTGCCTGCAAATTACTTACCCTACATATATATTGTTAAATGTTTTGATCTTGTGCCTGTATTTGGTACACACAATATGTCAGATGAACTACATCAAAATGCAGGATGTGTATAGTTAGGTGCCTAGGTTCTGAGGTCAGACCAGTTTTAGTTTCAAATTCATGTTCTGTCACTAGTTGGCTGTGTGATGCCAACAAGTGACTTCTCTGTCCCTCTCTGTCATCTGTAAAATACATATGATAATATAGCCTACTTCAAAGCATCCTTATGAGAATAAAATAATGTAATGTTAGCACCATGAATGGTACATAGAAAGCTCTCAATAAATACCACTTATCTTCGTAATATCCTTGGCATGAAAAGGAGATCTAGTGTATAAAGAAATGGTGAGGGAGTCATTTTCAGGGCTACCACAGGGGCTATGTTTTATCTCAAATGCAACACAAAAAGTATTTAAAACTCTAGATTTTTATAGATATTTTTAAATAAGAAAACAACCCTTGTACATCAGTTGTTTGAAGGAAAAAAAAAGCAATATTAAGTAAAAGCTTAGAATTGGATAAAGTCATTTCATTTCATAATCCTGGCGAACTTTTTAAATCGTTTGACTTATTTTAATAGTCCTACCTTCAATAAGATTGGATACGTAAACGTCACCATATATAAAAAAAAACCAGAATGCAATATTCCAGATCATCTGATATATTCAACAACATCTGGATCAGAAAAAAATTCCAAAATATATTGTCCTACAATTGACCTCTACAACTGGACAACACCTGTTGAGTGGTTTAAGGTAAAAGGACATTTGGGGGAAATGGATGAAAATTACACAAAACAGGTGCAAGTAAAGAGTCACTGAAAATGGAATGGAATTTTTCATTGCAGAATTGTAAAGCTCTTCACGGGCCAAGGTATCATATACAGAAGACCTTTGTGCTGATTGACAATGCAACTAGCAAGGACACAGGTGATTATACATGCAAATTTATGCACAATGAAAATGGACTCAGTTACAGCGTGACGGCAACCAGATCATTCGTCATGAAAGGTAAGCTACTGAATTTAACAAAATACAATATTTGAAAAAAAAATAATGTGGGAGGAATTGTGCCCTTCTTGTTGATTTTCCTAGACTGCAGACCCCCTTATCTGCAGGGGATATATTCCCAAACTCCCAGTGGATGCCTGAAATAGGGGATAGTACTGACCTTATATATACTATGTTTTTTTCTATCCATACATACCTATGATAAGGTTTAATTGATAAATTGGACACGGTAAGAGATTAGGAACAATAACTAATTAAAAAACAGAAGGATTGCAACAAAATACTGTAATGAAAGTTACCATAGATCTTAGCAAACTCAGCATATGATGTTTTTGTCTTTCCTTATTAAGTCGAGAGCTTTTACCTTTTCACCTCAAGGAAGTGCTCAATGGCCTCTCTCTGGCTTTTCTGCATTGCCTGCATCATTACTCTTGTGCTTTGGGGGCACTATTAAGTAAAATAAGTGTTACCTGAACACAAGCAGTGGGATACCGTGACAGTCTGCTCATAACTAAGAAAGCTATTAAGTGCCTAAAGGGCATGTGGCAGATAGAGTGTGGATCTGCTGGAGAAAGGGACGATTCATTTCCTGGATGGGACGGAGTGGGGCATTGTGAAATTTTATCATGATACTCAGAACACTGAGCAATTCAAAATTTATGAGTTGTTTATTTCTGGAATTTTCAATGTAATCTTTTTGGACTGAGGTTGACCGTAGGTAACTGAAACCCTGAAAAGTAAAACCGGGGATCAGGGGCACTACTATACTTCATGGTCCTCCCTGAGATGTCCTCCAGCTTCATCTCATCTTGCACATTCTCTACAACAGAGCAAAGAGCTTTTCTAAGTGTGCTGTCAAGATCTCAGGAATGTTAGAGGGAGTTTACACTACTAATCTAAAGCCAAATCTGTTCTCTCCTCTATGACTTAAACTTTTCAAAGATGGCATGATCTGAATCCTAATAAACTTTTTTTGGATGGCAACATAAGTATTTGCAGAGCCAGATTAACTTTCCTTCTCCCAATTTGTTGTCAGAAGTTCTGTAAGTAGAAAAAAATCTATTTAATCTCTAATATAACTAACTGGATTAGAACTTTAGTGAGAAGTTCTATAAAGTGATGGATAGATATTGTTGGGTGGTTTTTAATTGTCAACCCAAAGTTATCAGGAGGCAATAAGTAAGCCAGAATGTTTATTTGGGATCAAATAATTGCAATTTGGGGTACACAGATTTGGGTAGCAACCCAACTAGTGTCCCACTAGGGAGCAAAAGTCGGGGGATTTTAAAACAAAGAGGGAATGCATGTAGACATCGTTTACAAAGAATTCTGATGGGTATTAGCAGTAGAAAGCTAACCTTCATTTAATATAATTGGTGACTAAGGCTATCACAAGCAAGTCTCTTATTGTACCAAGTTGCAGATGTTTGGGCTCATTCTTGGAATATTTACAGTCTCACTAGTTCAAAAGTTCATAGTTCTACCAGTGAGGACATGGGGCCCATCTCCTTATTGGCCTCCTGGCTCCATTTCAAAACCTCTTGACATAAGTGACACCATTCCATTTCACCTTTCACACAATCCTGGTTTGCAATACTTTCTACGTTATCAATGACCTCAAGTAGATAATTTGATTCTAAAGAGTGCTTTTCAAATGTTAAAGTCTATAAAACCTATTGGTGGTGAAATACCTCACCACCAAGGGTATCAAATCTACAAGGAGTCGGGGTTTCCTTAGCATCACATTATTCTGAAATAAATGAGAATCAAGGGGTGTAGGAATGCAGCAATCCTCCAGAAAACCCCCTTCACTGTCTCTAGGCATCAGTGCCACAGAATTTCCACAATGGTGAAACTCTGTGAGCGGAAGTGTGGACCTATGTGTTTATCATGGTCATAGGGCTTTTTTTTCCCATTCAACAAGCATTTATTAAGTACCTTATATATGCTGTTGTTTCATGGGACTGTTGAAATCTTCCTTCCTGTAGTGCCGTGCTTATTCCGTAGAATTGTGCTTTTCTAGCAATTGCCAGGTCATGTAATTTATTTAATGTGTTGGATTAACATTTGTTTTAATGATATAGAAGAGAATAGGAAATATGAAAAGAGTATCATAGGTAGCAAGGGAAAGTATTACTTGAATGTTTTCCTTTTCCGTTTGTGTGTATGTGTGTGTGTGCATGTATTTGTTGTTGTGTGTCATTGTCAGAAAAATATGAGAAACATTGCCATGAAATAGGACAGAAATATGAAAACACAAGCTTTGCATTGATCACCATCCAATGCTATCTTAATATTTATATTCTCTTTGTCTTTGATTTAAGAGGAGGAAAGCTTTTCTTGGTTTCCAGTAATTATAGCCCCTCCGCAAAATGAAACAAAAGAAGTGGAAATTGGTAAGAAAACTTTAAGAATGCTATACATGTTACCTGAAGAATCCTTCCATATGACTCTTGATCTGAATTCCCCAAGCATGGGTCAGGCAGTTAACGCGCTGGATCTTGGGGATTAAATGAAATGTGATGTGTAGAAATATTCACCTGAGCACTTGCTTAATATTAGGAATACCCAGCATTTATATTTGTATTGTACTTGTAACTCATGGTGCTTTCACACGTACTATTTTACTTCATTCTTTTTTTTTTCCATATTTCCTTTTTTTTTTCTGTTTCGAATGCATTTGTTTCTTTTTTTAAATAATTTTTTATTGTTATGTTAATCACCATACATTACATCATTAGCTTTTGATGTAGTGTTCCATGATTCATTGTTTGTGCATAACACCCAGTGCTCCACGCAGAACGTGCCCCCCTCAACACCCATCACCAGGCTAACCCATCCCCCCACCCCCCTCCCCTCTAGAACCCTCAGTCTGTTTTTCAGAGTCCATCGTCTCTAATGGTTCGTCTCCCCCTCCGACTTATCCCCCTTCATTCTTCCCCTCCTGCTATCTTCTTCTTTTTTTTTTCTTAACATATATTGCATTATTTGTTTCAGAAGTACAGATCTGTGATTCAACAGTCTTGCACAATTCACAGCGCTCACCATAGCACATACCCTCCCCAATGTCTATCACCCAGCCACCCCATCCCTCCCACCCCCCACCACTCCAGCAACCCTCAGTTTGTTTCCTGAGATTAAGAATTCCTCATATCCGTGAGGTCATATGATACATGTCTTTCTCTGACTGACTTATTTCACTCAGCATAACACCCTCCAGTTCCATCCACATCGTTGCAAATGGCAAGATCTCATTCCTTTTGATGGCTGCATAATATTCCATTTTCCACGCTCTTTCTTGCTTTTGTTCATGTTGTTCCTCCTTCTCATCTCTCAACAGTGAGCTCAAATACCACTCCCCAATGCCACCCTCTTCGCCTGCCACCAGAACCTCCATCCGATCAGGTCCAAGGAAACCATTTTCGCATACGGCATGGCAGTGCTGCTCCCTAGAATGACTTCTCCCTCTGTATTCCCAAGTCGTTTGTCAGTTTTTCCATAGAAGACTAGAATACCTTGTATTTTAATCATTTGAGTGTGCTGTTGTCACCTTCTGAGACACTCTGCATTCCTCACCCCTCTGCATACTTCTGGACCCAGGAACCAAGGGCTCAGTGAGGGATGGCTGAATGCGTGTCCCCAAGCATGAGGGCAGCCCCCATGCTTTCAGCTCAGGGCGGAGGAAGCCTCAATTAAAAGGAGTTGTAATAATGGAGAGTGCTCTTGAATGATTCAATACTGGGATTGTAGCTGGGTCAAGCAAAACAGTTTTACCAACCAAGGGGCTTCCAGAGAGATGAAGAGAATTCAGTAAAATGAGAAATATGTGGAAGAAAGAAGTCACAAAGAAATTCCAATTTAGATTAAAAAGAAGCCCTACCTTATAATCTGGGATTGATGAAGCCAGAGTTATTTATCTCCTTAGTTTACGCAGCAGATGAGAGGCAAGTGGGAGCAGAGCTTCCTCCAAACTGAACGAAGGGGGTGGGGGCAAGGCGAGGGCCTGGGACAGGGAGGGAGGTGCTAACAATAAGGGAGGGGAATGGAATCAGTTCCCGGCACACACCAGATGTTTAATGATTTTTTTCACACTGCACGCACTATTGGCAGAACTGAATTTTACCGGTGAATTTCGTCACTTCTCACCTAGGAAAACGAGCAAACATACTCTGCTCTGCTTGTTTTGGGAAAGGCTCTCGGTTCATGGCTGGCGTCCGGTGGAAGGTGAATGGAACCACAGTTAAGAACTTTGGTGAAGCAAGAATTCAAGAGGAACAGGAGCAAAATCAAAGGTATTCTTATGCTGAGGTTAAAACATCCCCTTTTCCTCCCACACAATTTGCAACAGCAAAGTAAGCATTGAAAGTAACATGTCCCCTTTTTAATTTTAGCAATGAGCTGACTTGTCAGAACACCATTTTAAGAATAGATGATGTGAGAGAGGAGGATTTGTTGCTGCAGTATGAATGTCTGGCTCAGAGTTTGCATGGTTCGATACGGCACACCGTAAGACTAAAGAGGAGAAGTCCAAGTAAGGAGTGTTCCTGAGACTTTGGTCACCCGAGTTAGCTGCATCAATTGTAAGCTGAAATCATTTTCTTAGAGAACAATGTGTTGGAGTGTGGCTCTCAAGACAATGGAAGTGGCCCATCTCGTGAAATGAGCATCTCCTCTTAAGAATCCTGACCATTTGTAGTATGGTTTCCCTAGTTGCTTCTCTACAGCTTTACTTTCCCCTTCTTCCTCCCCTCCCTTCTCTCCCTCCTCCCACCCACCTCTTCCTTCCCTTCCTTCCCCCCCACCCGCACCTTACCTTCTCGTGTTGGCTCCTCTTTAACACCCAACTGCTTCCTTGGCCATCCTTCTGCTTTTATTAGCTCTCTCTGTCTCACTATATATGAAAGACAACACACTAACAGCAAACGTGAACATGCTCTTTGTTACCTTTCATGACTTTTGTGACATGTCATAAACGTGTTCCCTTTTATAATTTTTTTTTTTGGTCCTGAAGAATGCACATTTTGTTAGTGAGGCCTGCAAAGTGGATGAAAAAGTGAAGTGCTTAATTACTGCCTATTCCAGGAAGAAGATCTTAGATGCTACTTTGTAATAAGACATCATGTGCTGTCATTCTTAAACTTTATAAAATATTAAATTTATCTATTTATTTATTTTTCTACTTGCAAAACCGAAAGTATTTACTATCTGGTCCCTTCCAGAAAAAGTGTGTGACCCTTGCATCCTGTCTCTTTGAAAAAAAAAAAAATTACTTGTGCACTAATACCATACTGTCTTATTTCCTGCAGCTGTACAATCAACTTTGATTTTGGGTAGAGTAAATCTTCCAATTTTGTTCTTCAAGATTGTCTTGGCTATTCTTCCACCTTTGTATTGCCACATAAATTCTCTTCAGATATATTTGGATTATAAACATGTTTTGCTACAAGTTACACAGAAAGTTTTATAGCTTGTTTTATAATTACTTAATGTATAGTAGAAATCTTTCCATGATACTAAATGTTCTACACCATGATTTTTAATGGCTTCATAGTATCCCATTATACAGAGAAACCATCATTTATTTCACCAAATACATTGTTTGGCTACATGTCTTTCTTTTTCTGTCTTTTTAAAGATTCAATGTATTTAAACTAAAAAAAGAAAACACAACCTGTTCACCCATTTCTCCCACACCCACCCCTATCTCTGGTAACTTCCAATCTAAATGTAGATAAAACTCACGGGAAGTCTGGTAGTTCAGCTCATTTCTTTACTATATCTGTTATTCAACATGCAATTCAGGTACCACCTTTTGTGAGGAGACTTCCTTGGCCACCAGTTTGGAGTCTATATTCCTTCCAGGTGTTCCTGTAGGGCCCTGTCTCTATCTCTACACTCATCACACTTACAAAAATCTATTTGAGAGTCTGCTGAACGTGACTCTAGCTCCATGAGGGCAGGAATGGTGTCTCATCCATCTTTGTGGCCTCCGTCTGTAGTGCAGTGCCTGGTACCTAGCCTGCACTCAATAACAATTTGTTGAATGAATAAATGAACGCATACCAAAGTTATCAAGGAAAACGATTTTTGTACATTTCCATTGCTCTAGCTATAAGGCCTAATTATTCAACAAAGCAACAGTTTACATTTATGTTTGTTAGGGTGGATAACCTTCCCAGTAACTTGGAAAGGCCAAATTGGTTAGTTTTATCTGAATCTAGCATGCCTTTAATGACTTCATTATAATTTGATGCAATAAAATATAATTATAACAAAAATAGGAAACTGACTACTCTTCAGTAGATCACGTTCAGACACTATATATAATCTTTTACAATGTAACATTCTCTTTCACAAATAATCAGCAGCATATGGAAGCAAGGTGGAGAGAATGATCTGTCTTGGGTACAGGTAATAAGAAGACACATTGTAAAGAATCTGAAACAGCAATAAGACCATCTAAGAGTCATTGTGGTTTTTTTTAAAGATTTTATTTATTTATTTGAGAGAGAGGGAGTGAGTGAGTGAGCAAGAGAGCGAGCACGAGCGGGGGAAGGGGCAGAGAGAAAGGGAGAAACAGACTCTCCTGCTAAGCAGGGAGCCTGACACGGGGTTTGATGCAGGTCTTGACCCCATGACCTTGGCTCAACTCCAGGATCCTGGGATCATGACCTGAGCTGAAGGCAGATGCTTAACTGACTGAGCCAACTGGGCACCCCAGAGTCATTGTGCTTTTAATCATCACCTTACCCAGACATCACTAACCAGTGTCAGTGATGACATACTCCTCCTCTGGGGGCGAAGACTGCTTCTTCCTCCCACTCCCTTGGTATGTCATTGCATGCAATGATGTCAGCAAAAATAGTTTTACAAACATTTCCTTCCTGAGCACCTGTCAACTTCCTCTCCTGTTTGCATTTCCAGGCAAAGACATCTTGTTTGTTAGATGAAGCACTGAATCTAGTATAAATGGGTGGGGAGAAAAATATGGTATTTTTACACTTGTCACTCCAAGCACAACTACGTGGAAATTATTTAATGTGTTTGTCATGTAGCCAAAGGGAGAGTTAAGCCCTCAGTTTATACCCCTAAGTGGGATATAGCCCAGATTGATTTGGATAAACACACAGAGGTACAATGTGATGAAAAAAAAATTGGGGGTGATAGATAAGCAGACCACCAATTTGATGTGTTCATGTTAAGTCTCTGCCTGAGGTCATGCTTAGAATTTTCCCTTTAATTTAGACTTAAACCACTGATTTATAAGTAACAGAATCATGACATTGAGCGCTATCGAGTTCCATGGGTTGCCAGGTTTCTACCAGTAATAACAGAGTCGCCCCAGGACATATGGACCACATCATAATGTAATATCAGGGCAGTCTGGTGGTGGTAGCCAGCACAGTGGATCCCCAAAGAGAGGGGAGGCTGTGCCCCGCCCCCCTGCCCCCCCCACCGCCAGAGCTGCCATTGCCTCGATGTCCCCATGCCTTGCTTACGTTGTCACTTTATGAATGTTCTCTGATGACCTGTGTATTGGAATTGTTTTCATGTTACATGTACTTGGTGACTTTTTTCCTTCTAGTTTATTTGTATGTGCTACCCTTCCCCTGGCTTTCTTTAAATAACATGGTTACACTCTGTTTTGACAACTGTGTACATTAAACAAAAACTGTTGCTACAGCAGTTTGTCACAGCGAATTCCTTTATTTCTTATCACAAAATAAATTACATTATCTCGAATTTCAACAACAAGAACTTTAAAAGCTTATGTTCCCGTGATTAAATAAATATTTGACACTCATAGTAATAGTAGTACACATTTATTCATTGTTTCCTTTGAACCTGTCTAAATATTTTCCATTTCATTTCTTATTTATTTGATCAATATTCCACGAGGAAGAGACTGTTACTATCATCCAATATTGCAGATAAGGAAACTGAAGCAAGAGGAGGTTGAAGAACTTACCAAATTAGAGTTAGAGCCAGGACTCAAACTTAGGCAGTGTTTTCTTGTTTTTAAACACTTTCAGAAAGTATTTAATGTTTAGTCACCACATACAGAATTATTTATACAGGTATAAAGTTATGAACAGAAAGATATTGAACTTCAACTTTCTTTACTGTCTTGGATTAACTTCTTTCCTCCCATTGGAGGCAGCCAGCCATATGTGCAGTTACTTCACCACGATCTCCCCGAGAAATGTGGGTTCCCAGAGGGTATCCAGATACGACTTTTATTTTATTTTTTTTTAAGATTTTATTTATTTATTTGACAGAGAGAGTGAGAGAGCACAAGCAGGGGGAACAGTAGAGGGAGAGGGAGAAGCAGGCCTCCCGTGGAGCAGGGAGCCCGAGGCAGGACTCGATCCCAGGACCCTGGGATCATGACCTGAGCCAAAGGCAGACGCTTAACCATCTGAACCACCCAGACGCCCCCAGATAGGACTTTTAGAGAGAGTGAGCTGGAGGCGAATCCTGTTGAAATGCTTTCCTTAGGGAGTATTAATCATTTAAACTGATGACAGTGCAGATAGTAAGCTCTCTGCCAATTTCCAGTAACAGGCCTCCTCCATTGCCCTCTGGTTTTGAATCTCTTCGCCTTGGCCATTCTTGATTTCACAGGGCTGGATACTCAGGATGCTGATGAGCTATGGGGGGAATCTGTGAATATGGATGAATGATTTTCTGTGGCAAGGCTGGGACCACTTTGCTTTGAGACTTCAGACAAAAAATGCAGGGAGAATGCTATAAGAGACAAATCTCCTTTGAGATTCTTCTCATGGCCATCTTTAAGTGGAACTACTTGTAAGAGGATAGTTAATTCTAAAGAGACAAGTAAACTTAAGACAGCCAAAAATACCATTAATGACTACAACTCTTATATTCAATTTGTGCATATCCGTTACAAGTCCTTGAAATCGGGAACCATCTTGTGCATGCACTTTGTGAAACAGTGAGTATGCAACACAGTTCAGTGATGAGAAGAGTAAGGGGTGGGTTTAGAACCTAGAACCCCAGTAATCTGACTTCTCCATCAATTATGCTTTAGAGACTTACACGGCCCCTGTCTCTTCCCTGCTTTCCAATGCAGTAAGACCCCAAGACCTTTTGATTCGTTCTCCTTAATGCCCCAACACCAGGCATATCTGTTCCTTTCTCATTATTACACGAGTCTGAACCCTCCTTATCTTTCACCACAAGTATTGCAGAAACTTCCTGTCCATTTTCCTCTAAGTAATTATGGTCTCTTCTCACAGAGACAAATCTTCCCCTACCTTCAGATTAATCTTGTTTGTCAACCCCTCTCATTGTTAACACCCCACTCAACACTACTCAGTGGCTCCCATAACCTTCCCGAACAAAGGCAAAATGCCGTAACGGGAGCCTCAAGTCTGGTCAGAACTTAACCCTGACCCACATTTCTTATTGTGTCTTCCACTAATTCCCCAGACTGGATTACTCTAGTTCCTCAGAGAACACACCACATCTCTGCCCTCGGGCTCACAGCAGCCCCTCTTGCCAGGAGTACATTTTCCTTGTTTTGCAGTTCTATAAAACTTCCCTCCTCCTGCAGGAAGGCTCCACTGCCCAGCCTAGCATGGAGGGAGCACTCCTAAAAGCCTCTGCCAGCTCAAATTACATGTTTACCTCCTATCTTAGTGAAGTTTACATTTGCCTCGACACCTTTTATGCTTTGAGAATCCCCTACAATGCCTAGCCTGCTGCCTTACCCAGAGTAGGTGCTCAACAAATGTTCACCTATTGATTCTTAAAGCAGCCATGAAAATCCCAGGTAGGCATCTCTTGTATGAGTCTCTTGTACTCCCAGTGGAGGTCAGCAGACATGCATTTGTTTATTTTACCTTGTTTTAGTAATAATAGTGATTATTTTTGTCCTCCCCTTATCTTTTGAATAGATGACCAGCAAAGCACCTACTACATACTGGCGGGATTTAGCACCTTGTTAATGCTAATCAATGTCATGGTGATAACCCTGAAAGTGTTCTGGATTGAGGTTATTCTGCTCTGGAGAGAAATAGCTAGATCTTACAAAACTAGGAATGGTAAGTGGCAAGTTTCACCTTTTTCTTCAAAAGAAAAGGATCCATAATGGCTGTTGGTTACTTGTCTGTTGATCTCTTAATAGCTATGCTACTAAACCCAGATTTTGCTTGCTAACATATTGTTGGCAGATCTTTTTGTTTTTCAGTCCACTCTGAGGCCGTTCTCTATCCTTTTTTGTTGCTCCTTATGGTTCTGAGATTCATCTCAACAGCTCAAATTTCTTCCCCAATGGGCTTACTGTTCTACTAAATCAAGAACAGAATCAGCCGAAGCCCAGAAAGTTTAAACATTTTGGAAAATGTGTATTGGTAAAACTTTATGGAATTCAAAACATTAACAAAAGTGTTCCTGCTTTCCAGATGTGAACAGCTTAGAAAGGGCCATCAGAATGCAGGAGTATTTTACCAGAAAGCCCACTCCATAAAGAGTCCTACCTATGTGCATAAGTATACACATTTATGCCTGCTAAATCAGACAACATTCTTTCCTTTGGAGGCAGATATACTTTACATTTTCCATATGGTCCAATCAACTAGGGCTAATTATTTGATTCTCCTTTTGCATTTTCACTTCCTAGGTTAGGGGAAAATAATAGCTAAAATTGAGATCTACTCCAAACAACAGAAGACTCCTTATCCATGACAATAAATATTTACCAATAAATTATTAATTAAATTTGACAATATGGTGTGTGCTAAACTGGACTGACTCTTGCCTATTCTCTACCATTCAGTCTGAGGCAGTAAAGGGGGGAATTTGGGATTAAGATGGATTTTTCTGACAATATTTGGTGGTGGTAGATTGTTGTCACCATCTCTGGATTCTAGAATATTTTGGGGGATAGGATACATGCACCAACAACAATAAAATTCAGTGAAGAATGTCTAGGAAGAGTCAAATGGGAATTTTCAGAGCCAAGTAATAAAGTTGTACTTCTTGTTCTCATTTTCAGATGGAAAGATCTACGATGCTTATGTCATCTATCCACGGAACTATAAAAATAATCCCGAGAGGGCCAGTGCCGTGGGGCACTTTGTTCACCAGATTCTGCCTGACGTTCTTGAAAATAAATGTGGTTATAACTTATGCATTTATGGGAGAGATCTGCTACCTGGAGAAGGTAAAACTATCAACATACATCAAGGACAGAAATTCACATTTATCAGAAGGCCAAGAGATAGGTGGTCTTATCCCTATGTTGGGGATAAGACAATCATTATTCCAGGTCTTCAAACCAGAGTTTTTAAATATTTCTCCAGAAGAAGGAGATACTTATTCTTGTTCCTCTTGCTCCCATGGCCAACCTGATCATGAGGTCTTCACAAGAATATCAGTGATGTGAAGACACGGCTAGGTGGATTGAGCAAAGCACTGCCCCTACTTGACTTCCCATGTCCACCACTAGGGATAACTGACATATATCTTAATTCTTTCTAGATGAACCAAAAGAAGACTCAAAAAACAAAGAATTTTGTTCCAATATCCAGAGGCATTGGCTAAAATATTTGCAAGGATTCAGAGAGTCTTTAGGATTTTCCTTGTATTGGAGAAACATTGCAAATGTATATTCTCACAACAACCACTAGAGCTGTCTTCTGTTTCTTAGTATTCCTGGTCGATTTCATGTACCTTTGACAGTTTGTCACAATTCTGGCCTCTCAGTAGCGGTTCTCCTCCTCCCTCTATATTTATGTCAAGTACCCATGAGCCGTCCTTATAGCTCTTCTCGAATTCCTGAGAGAGCAAGAAGTGATGGGAATGTGAGTGAAGCAGGAGCATCATGAGGGTAAGTCCACTAAAGTTAATGCTTAGTAGACTGTGAATTTAACCTGGCACTTCCACTGCAAAGAGGGATTCAAGCATCTATAGATTTAAAGGAACACACAGCAGGTGAATCTGGTTCATCCTGGGATACTTGGGCAATGTTAATCACCCCACAATTGTGGGGCAGACTTGTAAAAATGAACAATTCAGGAAAATGTAATCCAAGTTTTCTCTAGAGGCTTTCTTTCTCCTCCAGCTCTCCCTTCGGCTCCTCATTCCAGGAGAGAGAAATGAGTCGCGGTGCTCAAATGCTCTTTTCATGTTACACATCTGCTCAGGAAGCTGGAGGGACCCCAGCTGTTTGCAATGTCACACCACCTGCCACATCTGGCTGCAAACCTTCATCACTTTTGTCTCAGATCCATCGCCCTCATTTCTAGTTTTACCTCCCTCCAGCCCAACGTGAACACCAGCTCGCTGAGGCCCAAGCTTGCGTGGCCTGCATTGTGCTGTTTTTCACCAGGGGACGTTCCCACTTCCCCTCCCTCAAGGATGTCCTCTGACCTTACTTTAACCAAAGTAAGATCAGATCTAACAAAACAACATCAAACTTCATTCGTCCCTTCGGAAGAGTTCATGACTGACTGCATCAGTGTATTTCTTCCCATGCTAGTTACCTTCTGGAAGTTTGCTCCTTCAAATCCACTCTGTGCCCCACTCCATCTAGTGGCCCTGGGGGGCTGGTCATTATGGAATCCATCACGCCCCTGCTGGGTTTGGCCAATGGAAGCACTGGCAGGAGTTCAGAGGCAGGCATCCTGTGAGGTTGCCAGGGTAGCTGGGCTCTTCTCTCCCGGAACACGGGCTCCTTTAGCTACCTTTATATTCATTAGCTTCCATAACTGTTTCCTCCCCTTCACACCTGGAGGAGGGTAATGCTTCCCTGTTATTTCCCCCGCTGGGGTCCTGAGGCATCTCTCACTGATTTCCCTTGGCTCTGCCCACATCTTTTATAAATTGTCCTTCATTAACCTCTCTTAAGTCAGTCCTTTTGAGTGTGCCAAGTTTCCTGTTAGGATCCTGAGGTCTCTACCTGGCACTATTCAACATTTATTTCCCTAGTTCACACTACATGGTTTGGCAGTCTTTCAGCTGCCACCCTCTGAGAATATCTGGAGTGGTTTCATTTGTGGTTGTGTTTCTTTGTTGTCTCTGTTCCCTCCTTGCTGTGAGAGCTGAATATTTTACACATTCTTTCTAAGTCTGCCCAGAAATTACCTGCCATCACCATGGAGTTGATGCTATATAAACTCTAACTTGATAAGGGGATCTGGTCTTCCTTAAGATTTTTCTAGTCTGTATCAAATCAGCTTCTCAAACAGAGATATTGGGGAATGATGTGACTCCAGGACTCCCTCAGAGACTTTAGTCAGTTCAGAGGAGCAAGGGTTCCTAAAAGTGAAAGTACTAAGCCCTCGTAAAACACATAAGCTAATATTCTAAGAAGATAATATGTAGCTAATGAACTTGAATTCTAATTCTCCCACTAAATATCTCTACGTAGCTGCCATTTAACTCCAAAGACTTTGTTTTAGTTAGGACTGATCTACATGGGAAGGAAGAGGGGCTTGGGACTGATGTGCTCACAGCGAGATGGGTAAGTCGAACATAACAGGTTGTCCATCCAAGCCCATTCCCCCTTTCCAGAGTGAAGAACTGATCAGTGTCAGAATGTCATGCCGGATTGAAACCATAATTTTTTTTTTTTTTAAGTTCAGAACATTTATGATCAAAGCATTAGACTTAAAAATGCAGCAACAGGAAATGTGATCCTTGTCTTTTATTCCCAGATGCAGCCACTGCAGTGGAAAGCAACATACGAAAGAGTCGGCGGCAGATTTTTATCCTGACTCCTGAGATGGTGCAAAGCAGGGAGTTTGCCTACGAGCAGGAGATTGCCTTGCACAGCGCCCTCATCCAGAATGACTCCAAGGTGATTCTTATAGAATTGGAGGCTCTGAGCAAGCCCGGTGGACTGCAGTTTGGGGAACTTCAAGATTCCCTCAAGCATCTCATGGAAGTGCAAGGTACCATCAAGTGGAGGGAAGACCACGTGGCCAACAGACGGTCCCCGAATTCCAAATTCTGGAAGCACGTGAGGTACCACATGCCTGTGCCATACAAACCGCCAGAGAAGATACCCAGTTTGGCTTCCCTGAGTGCCCAGGGGCAGTAAGGTTTGCTTTGATGTGCTGATAATGCACCTGATTTCCATTGACCTGAACTCTTCCTTGCTGGATGACGCCACTGGACAGGACACCAGAGCAGAGCCATGATGAGTGGGGATGTTAAGAGCGTGCAGGCCTCCAGTTTCATCTAGCAACTTTACTTCCATTTTCCTGATTCTGGGGGGATGCAAAATGCCCAGAAATTTTTATCCTCCATCCCCCTCTCTTCACCCCACTTTTCCTTCCTTTTCCTCTTTTGCTGGTTTTTTGCCATGTGGCCTAGGATCTTTTCATTATGCTTTTTTTCCTCTTTCTCTCTCTTTCCTGTTCTCCTGCTCTTGATTCCTTGTCAATATTCTACATGTGGAACTTTGGAACTTCAAACTGGAAGTGTTAGAGCTAAATTTTCATGTAACCTTGAAGAACACTCAGATTCCCACAAGTAGAATATTAGCAGTGCAACTCGTTCCCAACAGACCAGAATTTATTACATTTTATTTGACTAGATGCTAGGTTTTATCATCCCAATGTTGTTGATGTTATTGGAGGGACTTATCCGGTTACCATTATAATCAAGTTTTTGCGGTTCTAAAATTTCTTACAGAGATGTTCATTCTCTTTAGAAATATGTTTTTTTCTCACTCTAAAAGTTACAGAAGAACAGAAAATATGAAAGAAGAAAACAGCAAAAATTATCCATAAATCCATCATCCTAAGATAATGAGTTTTAAACGTAGTAAATTTGTATTTGAAAAAAAATTGAATTTGTGCTGCAACATACCGTTTATGTAGCTGAGCTCCCACAGCGTGTAGTTTTACATTTTTTTCTATTTTATATCATGGTAAACACATTTGATGTGTCACTTAAATTTTAACATTTTAAATATTCATAGAATTCTGTTTCATGGTTGTGCCACAGCTGATGTGCCTCATTAGTTATCGTTGTATATCTGAGTTGTGTTGAATTTAAACGGCCATCATTATAAGTAATTCTTCAATGACCATGTCAGTATATCTTAGATTTCCCAATTATAAGTTTGGTTTTTTTTTAATTTGAGGAATTGGTTTGTTGTGACATTTCTATGAAATCAGTAGGGCATTTTGGCAGAACCATTTGGCAAAAGTGAAGGTAAGGTGCACGGTCAAGGCCACTCCCATTAATTCCCTAAAGGAGTTCAAATGCCCTCAGGGGCCACAGAGTCCCACTGTGGATCCAGAACTCAGCAGTGTCTTCTCGGCCTGGGACTCCTGTCAGAGTTCAGATTTTACAAGTGGATGGGGATCCTACCCTCAGCTGAGCTGCTTTACAAAGTGTATGATTTGGGTTTGGTTTTTTTTTTTTATTTGATTTATTTATTTGACAGAGAGAGGGAGAGCAAGCACAAGCAGGGGGAATGGCAGAGGGAGAAGGAGAGGGAGAAGCAGGCTCCCCACTGAGCAGGGAGCCAGACATGGGACCTCCATCCAAGGACCCTGGGATCATGACCTGAGCCAAAGGCAGACGTTTAACCTACTAAGCCACCCAGGCGCCCCTATGATTTGGGATTTAACTGCAAAAGAAAACTACATGCCAGACCCTTGACAGGGAGTGTAATTTTGAACTGTCATTCAATGCCTGAAAAGAAATTTCTGCAAGGTTGCCTAAAGGATCTGTAGTTACCCATCCCTCTATATACGGTATAATCTAAATCTATCCTCCCCGGATTAAGGTTGCCAGATAAAATACAAGACATCAGTTGAATTCAAAGAATGAAATTTCATCTGAAATTGATCTGAAATTCAAATTTAGCTGGGACTCTTGTATTTTTATTTGCTAAATCTGGTTCCCCTACTCTGGTTGGTTATTGTGCTCTTATATGTTGATATTTGATTTTATTGAACTACTAAAACAATTAACCTGTGGGAAGGATGCCCTCTAGTTGATTAGTTAACATCACATAATTTGGAATCAACCAGCCATCCTCTGCTATCAACCAGCTGTGTGACTGTGAGTAATACCATCAGGAAGAGATGTGCCTTTAATCCTGCTTCTCCACCCACCAAGACTTACAGACCTTTTTTTGATCTGTGGACATAGAGAATTTTGGAACTGATTTTATTTTCCTCTTTACTTTAGCTACTTGAACACATAGAGTCAAAATTGGGCTCTTTCTCCAGCAAGTATGTAGGATATAACAAGGAAGTTCTAATAATCTCTTTCCTGTTTTTGACGTATTTTATTTTTAAATATATTTTAACTGTCTATATTGTAAGCTGCTTTGCAAATATTTAGCGCTAGCATTTTTTGAATGTGAGCTGAATATCTCTTTGAGAGGGGCAGGGAGAGGAAGGGCTGTGGAGGGGTACACAGGGGAATCAGGCACACTCCTTATTGACCTTATGGGGTTTGAATCCACTGAGGAAACCCAGAGGGATGAGGGAAACACTTCACAGAACCCAGACAGAGCTGGCCCCAGGGCAAACTCGGACATTGCTGAGCTCACTTCCCCAGGACTTCTTTTCCCAAACCTACACATCACCTCCCAAGTCACCTGAGCTTCAGTTTCTGCAACTAAAACATGGGAGGATGGAGGAGAAGAGCTCTGAGGGCTTTCTCAGCTCCAGGAGGCTGATTCCAAGCGCATGCTCCCAGAGAGGCTGCAGAACCGCCAGAAGTATGGCTTCTCTGGCACCACAGACCTCTCCCGGTTTCTTCATCTGTGCGGCGAGAGTAACAGATGCTTCGCCTACCACACAAGGTAGTGTGAATAAAATGAACTCAGCCAAAACCAATGGGGTATCTACCGTAGGACCCTGGCAAAAATTCTGGTGAATTATAAAAACACAAGGAATTGCCCTTACTCGAGTCAAATTTGCCTACGATAAAATGTAGATCCTAAGTTTGATGAGTCTTGACAATTACACATACCCGTGTAGTTGCCATCCCAAATAAGGTAGAAATATTTCCATCAGGGGAGCCTGGGTGGCTCAGTCAGTTAAGCATCTTAGTCTTGATTTTGGCTCAGGTCATGACCTCCTAGGTCATGAGATCGAGCCCCAACGTTGGGCTCCCCAGTCAGTGGGGAGTCTGCCTGAGATTCTCCCCCTCCTCCTTCTCCCCACTCGTGCCCTCTCTCTCTCTCTAAAATAGAGGGATAAATAATAAATCTTTAAAAAAAGGAGAAATATTTCCATCACCCCCCGGGAAAGTTCCATCCTGCCATTTCCCAGCCAATCCCTCTCCTTCCTCAAAGGCAAACAATGTTCTGATTTCTATCTCCATGGATTAATTTTGTCAGATCTTGAAATTTCTATCAATAAAGTCAGAGAAGGAGCACTGGGACTCCCTAATTCCACACAACATAATGTTTTGGAGATGCATCCATGTTTTGCATGTGTCCATACTTTGTTCCTCTGTGTTACTGAGTTGTATTCCATTGTGTGGCTGTACACAGTTTAACCTCTCCCTGGTGATGGACGTATGGGTTGTTTCACATGGTACCTATCGTGAATATGGAGACTGTGAACATTCTTGTGGACATGTGCTCTTATTTCTCTTGGCTCGATACCAAGGAGTGGTCCCTTTTAGGAAATCGTCAAATTGGCAAACTAATTGTACCATTTTACTTTTCCTCCAGTCATGTACGAGACCGCTCTTGTTCCAAATCCAGACCGATGATTGGTACTGTCAGGTTTCTTTGAATTTTAATTATTTCAGTGGGTGTTAAAAGAATCTCATTGTGGTTTTAACTTGCAGTTGTCTGATGATTAATGATGTTGAACCTTTTTCATGCTCTTATTCATCAGGAAGATTCATGTATCACTCAGGGAAAGTAAAATCTTCTACACATTTTAAAATTGTGTTGTTTCTCATGTTGTGGAAATTTTTTAATATATTCTGGATACAAATTCCTTTTCAGATAGATGTAAGGTGACAATTTTTCCAGGTTTACCTTCTTACCTCTTCATTTTTTTAATGGTATTAGCAGATGGTTTTAATTTTGATAACACTAAATTGATCAGTTTTCCTTATATTGTTAGCACTTTCTGTGTCTTATCTAAGTTGTTTTTTTTTTTTAACTTAAAGGTCTGGAGATATTCTCCCATGTATCTTTATGAAATATTCATGGTTCCAGATTTTATATTTAGGTCTATGGTGGGCTAGGTCTATGATATTTGCATATAGGATGAGGTAAGGGTCAATCTTCATTCTTTTTCCCCCATAGAGATGCCAGTTGCTCCACTATACTTGTGAAAGACTTCTCTTTCTTTATTGAATTGACATGGTGCCTGGTCAAAAATCAATAGGCTATATATGTGTGGGTCTATTACTCTACTTTCTATTATTTTCCATTTATATGCTCATGCAAATATCACACTGTCAAGATTAGTATTGCCTTACTCAACAAGTCAGCATAAATCCTCTAACTTTGTTCTTTTTTCCCAAGATTGTTCTAACTATTCTAGGTCATTTGCATTTTCACATAAATTTTAGTAACAACTTCTCAATTTTTTTTGAAAATTCCTCCTGGGATTTGGATTGCATGAAAAATATAGACTCTCTAACCTATAGAGCCTAAAAATGTATAGACTCTATAAACTCCACAGTTTGTGCAGAATAGATATCTTAACAATGAATCTTCCAATCCATAAACATGGTATATCCCTCCCTTTTTACATCTTTTCATTTCTCTTGGCAGTATTTTGTAGATTTCATGGTAGACATCTTGCACATGTTTCAAGGGATTTATACTTCAGTATTTGAATTTTTATGGTATTGTAAATGGTATTTTTAAGAAATTTCATTTTTAAAATTTCCATTAATAGTACATAGAATTATAATTGATTTTTGTAGATTGACTTTTTATTCCATGATCATGCTAAACTCACTTATGACTTCCAGCAGCTCTTTTGTAAATTTCAAAGGGCGATCTACATAAAATTATGCCCTCTGTCAGAACCTGTAGTTGTGTCTCTTCCATTCCAATCTGTATGCCTTCTATTTTTACTTCTTTACTTATTACAAAAA